AATGTTAAGAGGAACTGGATTATACGGTGGGTTGAGATGTTAGAGGCATAGTGATGCGAGCATATATACCAATTTGAAGGGATTAGCGGGCGTTGATACAGAAAGTCCTTCTTTACATCGATGTCGTCTCCGGTCCAAATGTCAAATCTGAGCAAAATGAACGCGTCCATGACATGTTTGTCTACGCGATTCGTTCATCGGACGAACATGCGTTCGTGGATCTCGGAGTATACTCCTTTCGAGACGATCGACGCGCTAGGAGATTATCTGAATTGCGTCATTGAGCGGAAATGAAATCTAGACATGATGCTATGACAATGGGTCTACAATCATGCAGAAATGAGCACCATCACGCGTGGTGTAACGAGACTGGGGGTCCTGGAGAAGATGTTTTCGTCCTGCGGATCGTGCCTGCCCTAACATGATCTATAGCTTGAAACAGCCTCTGAATTTTCATGCCATGAGCATGCAATGTCCAGCACCAACTCTAAACCGTCCACGTCTTCCAATTGCTAGCATCTGGTCTTGTTACACTCAATCGCACACTGCGAGCGGTCTCAGACCATCTCTCCTTGTCCCTGTACCCATCTAACCGTGTCGGTAATTGCCGTGTCTGATCGGACCGCGAAACCTGTATGCAAGTAAGCCTACTAGAAACTCTACTAGACCTGTCACGTCCGGCCAGGCAGTTGATCGCGCCCTGTCGTCTTGATACATCTGGAAGCTACCGAGCAGTTGTTTTGTTTAACCGGAAGCTAACGGGACATCAGCCAACGTCCTTCCCTCGTCACGGTAGAACTGCGGCTACGCCATGACTTCTTCTCCGCATGCGTCGCAGTATCCTGCACCACCAGACGGCCAGGACCCGCATAATTACACGCCCTTGTATCCCAACGGGCAGGTTCTCGACGGTCAGGCACCGTCGACGCGCATAGCCTACCCGCAAGAAGCCGCATACCCGAAGCTCGAGAATATCAACGAGGTGCTCCAGGCCCAGCAGGCTCTCCAAGCGAACCATGCCTTGAATCCTCCGCTGCCGCAGCAGTCCAAGCCGAACCGCCTGCGCAAAGCTTGTGATTCGTGCAGCATTCGCAAAGTCAAGGTGGGCGCATTTAGTCATAATACCATGATAGACACTGACGTCTGTAGTGCGACGAATCGGGCCCGCCGTGTAGAGCGTGCCTCGCGCTGGAGATTCCGTGTACCTTTGAGCGCCCGAGCCGACGACGCGGACCGCCCAATAGGCATGCCGAAGCGATCAAGAAGCGCAGGATAGGCGACTTGGATTCCGAGTCGTCGACGCCGCAGTCTCCTACCAATGCCGCCCATGCGCTGGCGCAACTGCAGTCGTCGCATCCAGCCCAGCTCTCCGCCGAAGAGATATGCGCCCTGCCCACCCTGAACGCCCTCATCGACGACTTCTTCACCTTCATACATCCGCTATGTCCCTTTCCGCACGAGCCGTCGTTCCGCGAAGCATGGGGGCATAGGGAGGACCTGACGAATCCCTCGTTCCTCGCCTTGCTGGCGTCCATGATCGCGGTCCTCGTCGCGTCCTTTCCTCGAAAACCACGTCTCCATCTCAACACACAGACGCGACGCGAATACCCAAATCACCTCTCCCTCGTCGACAAGTGCCGGGACGTGTGCGCGCGGGCGCGAGGGCCTGGCTATCTCGACCGGCCGTCTCTGAACGTGTACGACGCGTGTACCAGCTACTTCCTCGGCTTGACCGGAGCCTACGTATTCCAATGGCGGCAACTGCGACTGTACCTCGCCGAGTGCCTGACCATCATACGCTCCCTGGGGCTCCATAAACCCGAGGCTCAGGGCTATACCTATCTTGGTGGCATGCCGAGTGCGTGGGGCTCCAACGGACCGAACCATGACGGCTCGAGAGAGTTCAAAGTAGACTACATCACCGAGGAGATTGGTCGGCGCGTCTTCTGGACGGTTTTTGTGGGTGTGCGGTACGTTTGGGCATTCTCGCAGTGTCGACCATGACTGACTTTGACAGGACTATACAACAGCTCGGCGCTTCTTTCGGAGAGCTGATGATTGCGCCTGCGACACCTACCGAGCCTCTACCACCACTACCCCGAGAAGTCGACGATGTACACATCTTCCCAAATGAGATACAACCGCAGCGCGAAGGGGTCGTCTCCATGCTCACTGGATTCAACATCAATGTGCGTATCTTCCTGTCATACTCGTCGCTAGCAACGGCAGAGATGGCATTTGGGATTGATGAAATATTCGATTGGGATCGACAACAACAGATCTTCGCACAAAGCCTGCAGCGCTGTAGGCAGATTCTGGACAGCCTACCAGAGGTGCTCAAAGTCCGGCCAAAGTCCAGCAGCAATAGTGGGCTCGAACAGCAGAAACCCTACTACCCGCCCATGCCGGAATACTCTGGCATGCGAGACCCCGCCATGGACAACCATCACAAACCGGAAGCGCACGAGTTGCGACGCTACGAGATCCAGAAAGCGAACATCTACGCCAGCCATCTGTCCACTCGCTCGCACCTCGTGGAAAAGTACTTCCTTCAACTGGATAAGTATCAGCGGTCGAAGGGCCAAGCTGGTGCGCAAAACACGTCCAACGTCCTCGCTGCAGGAATCGACAGGTTTGTATCCGGCACAACAACCGACGCCGACGCGCTCGAAAAGGCAATGTCAGAAGAGCGCGAACAAGTAGTCAAAGACCTCCTCGTGGTCCTGGGCAGCATCGACATGGTCAACATGGAGCCTAACGGCGACTCCTTTGTAAGTCTCTACGTTTACTTGCAAAACTCAGATTTCCTCTACCCCGTCCATGAGATTGACGACTACGTCATCTCCATGTCGACACGTGATTTCTTTCGCCCAAACACCATCAGCCCGATCGCAAGCTTACGGTTCATGTCGACACAGACGCAGAAGATTCGCTCGATTGCTAGTACCCTGCTTGAGGTGCCGAAGGAGAGACGGGGGAGTGTGGCGTTGCAGCATCAGGATTACCTTTACAAGTTTCTTGATATTTTGAGTAAGTTGGAGAGGGTGAGTCCCGAGGCGAGTGATCCGAGTGGCGCGCTGGATGAGGAGAGTGAATTGAGGCTTTGGGCGGATTTGAGGGATCATCAGTTGAGGTTTCAGGAGCAGGGGGGTGTTTATGGGTTTTCGTGAGGGAGAGACATGGATGAGGTTTACGACAGCGCTGGTCTTTATTGCGAGGTGACGAGATCGCATTGGAGCATGCCGGTGCTGATGGTTTGCGCTGGGCACTCAAGGTAATAATGAGCACCAGTTCGAACGGATGGAACGCAGCTACGGCGCCGAGACTATTCTCGCGTGCCAGGAAGATTTGGGGTGAAGATGTAACAGTAGGAAGTGTCATTGCTATCTTGTCGCAGTCATTGTTAGATATCGTTAGACATATGTCCGCACAAAAGCCTCGTCATACTCAATCTAAACATGAGTCCATCTCAGCATTCCCTTCCATATACAGTCGAAATTGTTCATGCATCATGAGTCTATCCAGGTATACAATATATGTACAAGCTCTTCTCCACTCAACACGTAAAGGCCCTCAGAGTATGCCATATACCCTGCCCTCGTTTCACAGCTCCCGTTCCATGTAAGATCTCGCGCTGGCTCCAGTGCACTTTCATCTCTTCTGTCTTTGATATTCTGCACCCCTTCCCAGCACTTCCTTCCCCATCTACGGCACAACCACCACCCCAATACTCCCCGCCTGCCCCACCACACTCCTCGCCACGCCCTCCAAGCTCAACCCACTCAACCTCGTCTCGCCATGCTTAATCTTCGCAATCTCATACACATGCTTCAAACTAACCGTCCCTACCGTCCCTTTCACAGCGTTACCCACCGTCGGACTACTCGTCGATGTCTTTCCTTTTTGCCCGTCGTGGTTGTTCATAGGCCCGGGCACGTTTCCGGCTCCTCTTATCTTGTTCTTGGTGGGGAGCACGCCGGCGGCGGAGAGGAGGAGCGTGGCTGTGGGGGGCGTGCGCAGTTGGAAGTGGAAGGAGCGGTCTGGGCGGACGGTTATGCGGGCGGGGATGGGGGTGCCGGGGGTGTAGTGGGCGGTGCGGGCGTTGAACTCCTGTGTTATTATCAGTATACATGAACTGGGTATGCGACAATGGGGTATGAGGATATGCGACAGCCAGGGAATATGATTAGACGTACTTTGCAGAAATCCATACTCTTCACACCTTTACTTCCCAGCGCGGGACCGACGGGCGGCGAGGGCGAGGCTTGCCCTGCGCCTACGATCAGTTTGACGATTTGGTCTTTTGCTATTGCTTTTCGCGCCATGGTGGGGAGGGATGTGGAAGTGTGTTGGGGTGGGTTGCTGGGGGAATTTGCGGAGATGGGCTCGGAGGTGTCGGTCACAGGGTTTTTCGGGGTATGGAGAGGTAGGGGATTGACGCGTTGGATGTATGGAAATAATGGGGATGCGACCAGGAGGTTATGGAGATACGGGATCTAGGTACAATAGAGATTCTTGATGTTGGTGGGATGACGATGCTGCCTGTCGTCCCACGTGACGACGTGATTGAGCTAACAATCTACGCGTCGAGATTCCGCCACCTGCGAGCATTGATCAGCATTACAGCACGACACTCTCTTTCCTCCCAACTCCCACCACATCGATCCGATATAGGCTGCAAACCTCCCCAGTGCCTACCAGAAGTGTCAATTCCTCATGCATCGACCGAAGACTCTCGCAGCTGGCGAGGCCACCCCGGCGAAGCCCGCGGCGCGTCTTTATGGTGGCACTCCACAGTCGACGGAACGTCTCATCAAGCCTTTCCGATGCCCCGGCTCAGCAACAGTATCCAGTGTCTCTACGAAGCCAGCCAGGAAGAGGAGGAAGGTCGATTACTCTGGTGCTGGAGGCGAAGATGGAGAGAGTGACAAGCCATACTCAAATGAAGACCGATTAGCCCTCGCCACACGAGACGCAAACCGATTCCCTGTCTTCAAGCCCAAAGACAAAGACACCGCCTTCAGAACCAAGTTCATCGTTCCTTTAGTCAACAAGGATGTTGGAGCCTACAATCCGAATCGACCAGCGCCGCTGCTAGGTATGCGGACTGGAACCGTCTTTGTTGCGCGACCACTACACGACCCGAGCGGAGAGTTTGCGATAGTACTATACGATCCTACGGTTGACGACAAGCCGATACCGAAGGAAGAGGCGGAACCGAAGCTGAGTCAGACAGAGAAGAAGGAGATGGAGGCGCCGCTGGTACACAAGAGTTTGGCGGAGATACTGGGGTTGAAAAAGAAGGTGGACAATGAGCGGCCGCGTGTGCCAGTTGTCATCGATCCAAGACTTGCGAAGGTTCTACGACCGCACCAGGTCGAGGGTGTGAAGTTCTTGTACCGAGCTACGACAGGCATGATTGATCCCAAGGCGAACGGGTGCATCATGGCAGACGAGATGGGTCTTGGAAAGACGCTGCAGTGTATCGCGCTCATGTGGACACTACTCAAGCAGTCACCCGATGCTGGCAAGTCGACGATACAAAAGTGCGTCATCGCTTGTCCGTCGAGTTTAGTGAGGAATTGGGCGAACGAGCTTATCAAGTGGCTCGGGAAGGACGCTGTCACACCCTTTGCGATCGACGGAAAGGCATCAAAGGAGGAGCTCATCCAGCAAATACGGCAATGGTCGATCGCATCCGGACGCGCAGTTGTCAGACCTGTCCTTATTGTGTCGTACGAAACGCTGCGCCTCTACGCCGACGAGTTCGGACAGACACCTATCGGGTTAATGCTTTGCGACGAAGGGCATCGACTGAAGAACGGTGACAGCTTGACCTTTACCGCGCTCAACAACCTGAACGTGCAGAGGAGAGTTATCCTTTCCGGCACACCCATCCAGAACGATCTGTCAGAGTACTTTGCGCTACTCAACTTCGCCAACCCCAACTACCTTGGCACGCGCATGGAGTTCCGCAAGCATTACGAGATCCCTATTTTGAAGGGTCGCGACGCGAACGGAACGGATGCGGACATCAAGAAGGGTACTGAGCGTCTCACCGAGCTTCTCGGCCTAGTCAACAAGTTCATTATTCGCCGAACCAACGACATTCTCTCCAAGTACCTGCCAGTCAAGTACGAGCACGTCGTGTTCTGCAACCTCGCGCCATTCCAGAAGGACCTGTACAATCACTTCATCAAGTCACCCGACGTTCAGAGTCTACTCCGCGGCAAGGGTTCGCAGCCGCTCAAGGTCATCGGCATGCTCAAGAAGCTCTGCAACCACCCCGACCTACTCAATCTACCAGAAGACTTGCCGGGCTGCGAAGACAAGCTACCAGACGACTTTGTACAAAAGGACGCACGAGGCAGAGACCGCGAGGTCAAGACATGGTACTCCGGCAAGATGGCCGTCCTAGACCGCATGCTCGCCCGCATCCGCGCCGAAACCAACGACAAAATCGTCCTCATCTCCAACTACACGCAAACCCTCGACATCTTCGCCATGCTATGCCGCTCACGCGGCTACGGCTGTTTCCGTCTCGACGGCACCATGAACGTGAGCAAGCGCCAAAAGCTCGTCGACAAATTCAACGACCCCGAAAGCCCCGAGTTCGTCTTCCTTCTCTCCTCCAAAGCTGGTGGCTGCGGTCTCAACCTCATCGGTGCGAACCGCCTCGTCCTCTTCGACCCTGATTGGAACCCCGCTGCTGACCAGCAAGCCCTTGCGCGTGTGTGGCGTGACGGACAGAAGAAAGATTGTTTCGTATACCGCTTCATCACCACGGGTACCATCGAAGAGAAAGTGTTCCAGCGCCAGTCCCACAAACAGTCTTTGTCGTCTTGTGTCGTCGACTCCGCGGAGGATGTCGAACGCCATTTCTCACTCGACTCTCTCCGCGAGTTGTTCCAGTACCGCGATAATACCACGAGTGACACGCACGACACGTTCAAGTGTAAGCGCTGTAGGAAGGAAGATGGGAGACAAGTGGCGAAAGCGCCGGCTATGCTTTACGGCGATACGAGCACGTGGAACCACTTTGTTAATGATGGCGAGACGGGGCCGTTGGGCAAGATTCAGGATTTGTTGTTGAGGCAGGAGACGGGCGATGGGTTGAGGGATGTTAGCGCTGTGTTTCAGTATATTAGTCATTGAGCGGGTGGCTTGGTGTGGGTGTGGGATGAAGGTGCTGATGAGCAAGATGGTGGTAGTGTTGTTGTCAGCATGTGTCATTTGCATAGTCTTTTCGAAGTTTATAGCGTTCATGAAGCGTGGTGTTGAGATGGGCGGCGTTAGATAGTGGGTTATGATAATGAATATGATATCTTTATGTTGGCAAGATTTGGTCACTGCGCTTTTGCATCTCATGTCGCTCATGTTGATATCGAGTATACGGACTTTGCAAGCAAGCATCGCGGTTGCCGAAACCTTCCTGTCGCGCTACGTGCATGACGCACACTCGCCTATCTCGATGGGCCCATATTCCTAAAGCGAACATGTGTAATCGCTGTTGCTCCATTCGCGAGAACGCGTTGCGTCATGTTGTTCGGAGCAATGACGGAGTCATACGGGACGGGTTGATCGATGTGGTTGGTGCGGCCAACCGTGGATGTTGATTTGCAATCCGCGGTCCGTGGCGTGGTGGTTTCTTGGTTGGGAGGGAAGTCGCAACTTGATGTTGGAACTGGACGGCAGGTATTGGGTACGGAGCAAAACGGCGGAGGGTTTCCAAGATTGTGATTGTGATTCATGTTCTACCGTTCATGCCTGATTCTGCCGCTTGTCATAGGTCTTCTAGAGACGTTGGTACTTTCTTTGTTTGAGTCGCAGATGGTCATGCGCTTCAACAAAGGATGTCCGAAGGCATCGTGGGAAGCTCAAGAGCATATGCCATTCCGTGCCGAAGTACTGTTCAGCACTGTGAGTATGATATCGTTAGCGGGTATGGAACATTCCCCCGGGGCCTATAGATCGAATGTACTGCCTATGGCGGACCCATGGTGTTCGCCCCATTCATGCCAGACACAGTACCAAAGTCTGCGATGACTTTCATGCTGATACGTGCCACACTCTCACTATGCGCAAGAATTCCAGTCTATGGCTACCATCAGTACCGCTCATGTGCAAACTCACCTATCACCATCACTGCGTTCTTCTCTCGTCCCCACTTTTACCTTTACCGTCCCTTCTCTTCACGGCAGCTGCCTATGACGTAGCCCCACTCTTGTGACTCTTTTACACCCGCCCGGGCATGCTTCAGCCAACTCACCTCTCACCTCTCATCCATGGTTCCATCACGCTAGTCTCTGAGAGGCCTTATAGCTGGCTCCCCTCCCGCCTTCCTTCCTTCCTCCTACACTCTTCTTCCTCTCAACTTCCATCAGCCCACTCTGTGAAGACCAGCACCTGGAAAGCGCTTACCTTGAGGCTACAAGAACTTTTCATCTGACGAACCGACGAAACGCACGACGTTGTATCCTCCAGGCTCAAGTTTTGTATTCATCTTGTTGCGGACAAGTTGAGGATTTCACGAACTTTTCATCTGACGAACCAACGAAACGTACGACGTTGTATCCTCCAGGCTCAAGTTTTGTCTTCATCTTGTTGTAGACAAGCCTCGTTGTAGTCGGCAACCGAAGTTTCCATCCCGCTAGCTAGCTCGCGCCACCTGGTCCGAGCTCCAACATTTCGTAGTCGAGCTCCACCATCCGAGTGAACTCTCCACGCACACCAACCTCGCGCGCACACGCATACCATACCCTCGACTCGACACCACGATCCCGCCGAATCGCGCGACCGCCAAAACACTCGAACTACCGCACATCATGGATTCCAAGCGCCGCAAGACCGGCGACCAGGATGTCAGCGCCTTGAGGTTGGCGTCGCGCCAGAAATACCTTGCCGAACGCGAAGCGCAACAACTCGCCCTACTCCGCCGCCAGGTCGCCGAGGAAGCAGAAGAGGAGGCGAGGTTGGGGAATAAGCTGAGCGAGAGAGAAAGAGCAGAGTTTAAGAAGAATCGTCAGACCCTGGAGCTGGCCGAGGCGCGAAATGCCATCGACGATTCCCGACTACAGGATGGCTTTCATTTTCAAACGGACTCGGATAACCCCCTCCTGGAGGGTACCGCGAGTAAAAACGACGTACTTTATCGTCGACACAACGACGCGTACGACTCCAGGCCTCAGCAAGATGTTCCAGATGCGTACACGTCAAATCCACGTATTCCTCAGGACCAAGACATGTACGAATACGTTTTCGATACAGCTAATGAGGTGCGCTTCACAGCGGAGGATGTAGCTCGCATGGACCCTGCCAAGCAAGCTCTTGAAGCTCAACTCGATGCCGCGGAGAAGCGAGTTTTGTCAATCAAGGAAACCCGCGAATCCCTTCCAATCTTCAAGTATCGACAGGAGTTACTCGATGCTGTGGCCAACCACCAGACCTTAGTGCTGGTCGGAGAGACTGGTTCCGGAAAATCGACACAAGTGCCGCAATTTTTGGCCAATGAAGGCTATACGAAGGCCGGAAAGATTGTGGTCACTCAGCCACGACGTGTAGCCGCCATGAGTGTCGCCAAGCGCGTAGCAGAAGAGTATGGCTGCAAGCTCGGCAACGAGGTCGGATTTTCTGTCAGGTTCGAGAATAAGACGAGTGAAAAAACAGTCTTGAAGTTTGCCACGGACGGAATTTTGCTTAGAGAAGCCATGGTGGATCCCTTATTACTTGAGTACTCCGCGGTCATGATTGACGAGGCACACGAAAGGTCTGTCGCTACTGACCTTTTGCTTTGTCTTTGTCGCGAAGTTTGTCGAGCTAGACCGGAATTCAGACTTCTCATCCTCTCCGCCACCATCAACGCCAAACAGTTCTCGGATTACTTTGACGGCGCGCCCCTATTTTCTGTTGAGGGTCGTAGCTGGCCCATTGTAAGTTAATTGTCGAGTCATATATCTGACATATACTAATCTATCTCAGGACATCCGCTACACCATAGCTCCAGAAGCAAACTACCTAGCCGCAGCATGCACGACTGCTTTACAAATTCACTTGGCATCACCTCTTGACCATGGCATGGGCGGAATCCTTATATTCCTCACTGGCGAAGAAGAGATCCTGGCTGCTGTGGAAAATCTCGAGACAACTATGAAGAAACTCGGGAGCAGGGTACCGGAGCTCATTGTTCGTCCCCTGTATAGCGCGCTATCCAGCGAAGCCCAAGCGAAAGTGTTCGAGCCGACTCCGCCCAATGCTAGGCTCGTTGTGGTTTCAACAAATATTGTAAGTTTTACCCATACTCAAGTTAATGAAGAACATGTACTGACTTTGTACGCCTAGGCTGAAACATCAATTACAATTGACGGAATCAAGCACGTCATCGATTGCGGCTACGAGAAGACCCAAACTTACGACCCTGTCAGCAACATCAGTTCGTTGACTGTCAGCCCCATTTCTCGAGCATCTGCGAATCAAAGAAGTGGGAGAGCTGGACGGACATCGCACGGTTAGTAATGCTGCTGTACAAATTACTGAGACAGATACTAATTTCGTATATCAGGATATGCATACCGTCTATACACGAAACACGCTTACTACAACGAGCTCCCCGAGCAGACAGAGCCTGAGCTGCTCCGAACATGCCTCGATGGTGTCGTGTTGACATTGAAAGCGCTGAGAATCGACAACCTCCTCGAGTTCGAATTTCTCACATCCCCTAGCAGTACCAGCGTTTGCAAATCATTGGAGAGCTTGTATGCTCTCTCTGCCCTCGACTCGACCGGGAGGTTGACGAAACTGGGACGGAGGATGGCCGAATTACCGCTGGACATCCGACTCTCAAAGGCGCTACTTGAGTCAGAGCGTTGGCGCTGCAGGTCCGAAATACTCTCAATCATCAGTGTACTAGGAGAGAGTGCCTCCTTGTTTCTGAGACCTCGAGACAAGAAGGTAGCAGCTGATGCGGCAAGAGCGAGGTTTGCAAGCACCGAGGGCGGTGATTTCATGACCTATCTCAACATCTGGAACCAGTACGAGGAAAGCGGCTTCGATAGTCGTTGGGCTACTGAGAATTTCCTCCAGTGGAGGTGTCTCAGTCGGGCTAGGAACGTTCGCGATCAGCTCGAGAGTCTTTGCGACCGCGTTGAGGTACCGCATTCGAGTTGTGGCATCGCAGATCACGTCGCCATCCGGAAGTGCTTAACTTCGGCCTACTTCGTCAACGCTGCAAGACTCGCGCGTGATGGGCTGAGTTATCGCACAATATCGAACAACGGGATGACGGTGTTCATCCACCCCTCTTCAAGCCTGATCGAGAACCGGCCAAAATGGATAGTCTTCTTCGAGATCGTAGAGTCATCCAAGACTTACGTACGATCCGTCTTACCCATCCAACCAGAATGGCTGGTCGAGGTGGCACCTCACATGCACACTGAGAGCTCGATATCCAAGCTCGGCGACAACAAGAAGATGCCCAAGGCGACGGCGAAGATGCTCAAGGAAAGATAGAAGGGAGGCTATGAGTATCAGATGAGCGTCAACACGAGCATGACTTGGGGCGCGGCCCAAGTCTTTGGCATAGCAACTCAGAAGCATGCTGTGTAGAAGAGTTCGACTTACCATGTTTCATTTCCAATGGTGCGCTTTACAAATCATGTCATTTTTCGACATGCGTGGTTTGTGGTACATAGCAACGTTTGCTAACCCGGAATACCTTGCGCACAAGGCTGCGATGTTCATACGATACTGATCTTGCGAGATCGAGGAAAAGGCGTTATGGGAGGAAGAAAGATGGTTTACTGTATTCGATATGATACCCCATTTCCTAATTGTTTGGTATGGCACCTTCGGCTTTTAGCGTAGCACAATGCATGAAAGACTTCAAGTGCAACAACATCTACCTCTTGGTGCGGTGAAATGCTATGAGCTCTTGTGTGGTTGTAGTTAAGAATGAGTCTTGGGGGGGTTAATATAAGTGAAAACCGGCCGGGAGTACAAAGCATGCGTTCCAAAGTTATTTATGCTGCATTTCTATGATAAATAACAAACTTATGTACGTAGCGAAAGCAAGTAGCTGCGGATACATTAAAGGTTTACGACAAGTTAAGGCATGTTTGAACCTTGGTATGAGGATACATCCCGGAATTTCGTTCTTGTCAAAGATATCAAGTTCACTCGATACCGCCTGGCTAGCCCATGACATCGAGATAACCCACTACGGCTCACATTGTATGCCTTCGACGGGTATGTTGAAGTGATTATCTATGCTTTGACCTTCACGGTAGTCGCATCGCACACCGCAGATTTGGTCGGAATGCAGCTACAAACGTTATCACGACCTAAATCGTATGCTTCAGACCTATGCATTAGGACGTATACTTCCGTATCTGTGCTCATGTAGTAGGCAAGGCCGACATATTCCAAGCTAACAATGTCTCTAATACACCGTCCGATTAGCAAGACAGCAGTCTGAAACCGGATCGTGCCCCATATCGTACGCTTCAGGCCTATGCATCAGGATGTGTTCTTCCGTATTTACTTCGATGTAGTAGCCTAGGTCGAAATATTCCAAGCCAAGAAAGCCCATGATACACCGTCCAATCAGCAGGATGGCAGTTAAAAACCGGATCATGATCTACACCGTGCTCTCCAAAGCAATACATAGAAGTACATATCTACTTCGTGGCCTTATAGTAGTCGCCTGGGCCTATCACCGCAGCGCGCACCATCAAGGAGCTGGTAGAGGTAAGATGGCAATACCGTTCGATGAGAGGCTGTCAGAGGCCTCTTAACTGCTTTCGCAGCGTGTTTTCGATGTTGAACGCCGTAGATAGCCTGTGTGAGCGATGCGGGTAGGTCATTGTTTCACGCTTTTACTGCAGATCAAAATATCCCTTTGGTGCGGGAGAGCGGCATGTATTAAGCTCACCTTTTGCAGCTACTCCTGATAGCCCTCCTGTTTATGTTGATGGTCATGCCGGCTGGTGCTGCGGTCGTGGTTGAGATGGAAGGGACGACCTCTTGACAGACTCAGGATTTGACATTGATCACACTCTGTTGGGCTAACAGCCCATAGTCAGCTACCATACTTCTGACGGCTTTCCGCAGGTGTTCAGATACATGCGCTTTTTGAAAGTATGCGAAATGCAAGTATGATACGAGGTGTCGCGTTTCTTACGCCCTCGCATGAGCGCCTTGGGGGCTGCGCAACCTTCAATCTCGTTTCCAGGTATTGTGACGCTGCATCCAGTATGCAGCTTGAGTTGATTCCGACTTTTTGGTGCTTTTTGCGATGCGATTACCGAGGAGAAAGACTTGTACAGGAGGATATTGGTCTGTTCTTTGTTGATCACTCGTCTGTTCGTGAAATTAATGGACATCGGGTCGGTGAAGACGAGAAAGTTAGAACCGGTTTCAGCAAGTCTTGTAAGATGGTTAAGACCTACACTGGCATTCGGCCTGCTATATATACGCTATCAGAGCACTTGTAGTTGCCTCGCCGATCGAAAGGGATGCCGAAGACTACCTGGCTTCATATTGTAGTCGGCAGATGCAGAACACAATTGTCGCGTATACTTGAGACTCGTGCTACCGAACGGGAGTCGACCTAGGCGGTCGACTTCAGTAGCTGGATGAAGTAGAAAGGGTTGGTATTAGTTCACAATGCGACACACTGTTATCGACGAAAGGTATGTGTGTTGGCGATGACACTGTCAGGCCTCACGTCGGCAGATGCAAGCTTCCAGCATGCTGCATAGACTGCGACAACGGCTCACAACAAGATCTACTGACACATTCGACGTGCACGTATTTAGCAAACCTGTCTATCATACCTTCCAATAAACCCGTAGCTTCTCTAGTAGTCGCCTTGCGTATACCTGGATCTACTAGGTTTAGACCTTGTCTAGCATACGGCGTACGTCAAAACACTCGCGCACCTACATTCAGTCGACAAAGTCCGTATGATCTTACAAATCTCATACTCCATATCTACAATCAAAGTTACATGAAAGAATATAACCAAGGTAGCTCACCCAGCGCTCTTCACGAGCTTCTTTTGCTTATACGCCTTCGCGGGATCAACTTGGGCAAACATGCAGCCGCCAAGTATTGTGCCGTCACGAGCGGCGTTCGTATCCCATATGCTAGCAGTCCAAGGCACAAGGTCCGGTCGCATCTGCCGCAAGAAGATGTACGTGTCCCTGGTGACCTTCTGCCGGAAAGGCATGTTGTTGTACAGCTTCGGCATGCAGACGACTTTGATGTAGTCGTCGCCCCTCGGCTCCGGCTCGGTGTGGTCTTCGTTGTGGACATCTGAGGAGAGGAGGATAGGCGCATTGACGGTCCCGATTCGTGCGCGCTTTCGCAGTGGCGCGGGCGACGCGGGAGGAGACGAGGGTTGGATAGGCTCCGTGCCAGCACCGTTTCGGTCTTCGCTATCAGCATGCACTAGAAGAACTTTCTGGTCGGCTTCTGGTACTGGGGCAGGCAGCGTCTCGGGCAATGCCAGCCCATATTGTGTCGAACGCTCGCAGCCTTTCCTCGGTGGCGTGCAAGCCTTGGTATGTCGTTCCTTCCAAGGCTGGGGACGCTTGCACCTGCCAATATGGAAGCGTACGAGGCGGAAGTAAACACCAGCGAGGCGGCTACAAAGACATCGGCGTCGGTCTTCGAGAAGGCAATGCGGATACAAGCTGACTCCATGCACACTGGAGGAACCAGTGGAGGTTGCCGTGGATTGATGTAGCAGTTTGGCGTTCTATTTGCTTAGTGCACGATCGTGTCCAAGGCTATGGATGCGGTATCTTCATGCGATACCTTCACGACGAAAGGAGGCAGCTGCGATGGAAAGCGTTCCTTCCCAGGACCCTGATCTCAGTTCCAGCTCTTCAAAACTCGGGATGCACACGCGTATAGAGAGAATTTCCAGAATATCGATGATATTGGTATGCTTTCTGACCCAGCTTCAGCTTACCTCCCGATAAATCTTCCTCTGTCAGACTAGGCATCTCTGGCCGATACAAGATGTCCAAATAAGACCGGATAAACCTTCGTAGCACGCAACGGCGTCTCCTTGGATCATGGTTGGGTGACCAGAAGATGACAAGCTGACCCCGGCTGTAAGATGGTGGTATAGTAGAAGCGGCATACGCAAACGTGCACGTATGCGGCATCGCTCTACCCAAACGAGTTCTCCATATCGCGGCTCTCGGCACGTAGTTCTCGTGAAGGAACCCCATCCCAGAGTCTCGCCATCAATCCTACGTTCCAGAACAGCTTGCCATATCGCGCAAGCCACGCGTCAACCCTCTCTCCAGGAAAAAAAGCAATATATCCGCTCGCCTACCCAAGTCCTGCAAACAACATCAGGAATGGATGTACGCGCCGTGACTAAAACAAAGGGTCGCAAGAGCCGAGATGCCGTCAATTTATTGTTAGGTTGAACGAAAGGTGACGCGTTCGGTATGTTGGCGTTCTTGGGGAATGCACGGGCGGATGAATGGGTGGGGGGCCACATGCCAGGCACGACGTGCTGCAGGGTTAAGTGTAGGGTAAGGCGGCCTGTGTAATTTCCCGGTGCAGGGTCTCAGGGGCGACCCGACTTGAACGGTGGTTCGTGTGCGAGGATCAGGGTAAAGAAGGAAAGATTGTCAAGACGTCAGTACATCAGATATTTTGAAGACAGCGATTGTATGAAGTATCACGATATGTTTTGCACGAGGCAAGTGTATGAAGTTACGATCAAATGCATTGATGGTAAAATATGTACAGAAGGGTATCAGGTAGACAGTCAAGTCGAAAAGTAAAGGTGGAAATCATGTCATTAAGATAGCCAACTCTTCTCAGAACAGGCAAAGAGTCTAGGAACAAAAAAGACCACCGGGGACCACACGACTCCCTCCATAGGGCCAGTAAGCATTCCAACCAAGGCGTATTACAATACCAAGTATATCGATCCATCGAAATGCCGCTGCGACTTGATTGCGCAAGGAAGCAAAGGGCTCGTACCGCTAACACCGCGCTCCCAATCCTAGACTGAATCGTGATGCAGAGTCGAAGTCGTAACCCGTGAAGCCATGTTTTATTTCCTCCTCTTTCCACAACTCGAGAAGAGACTAGCTAGGCCATGGAAGACCATGACCCGACGAATCACTCAAGAGCGAACCGCTTACAAGAAAGCAGCGAGGGCACCAGCGATGGCGAAGAAGCCAACGGAGACCTTGCCGGCGGCACCGGTGAACTCAGCGGGCTTGGAGGCGCTGGGCATAGCACCAGTGCCAGTAGGAGCAGCAGTTCCGGCAGGGACGTGGGGAACGGTGCCGTTGGAGGAGGGGTAGATGGGAGAAACCGGGGTGTAGGCAGGCGCAGTGTGCTCAGCAGCCGGGACGGAAGCAGAGGTGACAGTGGGCATGGGGACAGCCGGGATCTCGGGGGTAGGGGTGTGGACGTAGGTAGCAGTGTACTCAGGGATGCTGAGGGTGGTGCTGGAGGAGATGGTGTAGGTGGAG